TTCATCAATTCTTGGTCCAATCAATTCTAGTATCTAGTAAGAAATATTACGCGTTAATCCAAATCTATCCCTCAATTTTTGAAATGAAATTACTCGGGGCAATCTTGAGTCTGGATATTTTTGATGATAAATTCTACTAGCTAGCAGAACATTTCGATCCGCTTCTTCAATACAATAAACCATATTTATCATTTCTTGTCGCGTAAAATCCATTTTAACTAAACAAATACTAGAAAAAGTGCAAAAATTAGATTTTAAATAATTTTTGTTATTGGTATCCATGGATACGTCAAAATAACTAGCTTGTCGATTTCTCAGGTGTGTTGATACCTAAATTATTACAAAATTGTGAAATATCTTTGTTATTGTTAACTTTAGGTATAGGGAATGGTTATACCAATCAAAATATAATTTAATACGAAATTTAATTCTGCAAAAATATACATAGCGTTCCATTAAAAATAAGAAAGTTATTAAAGTTTAAAGTTTCCCAAATTCCCCCTATTTTTTATCAAGTAATTGCTTGGAAATATGGCAAAGTTTGACACGGGATATTTAAAACAATGTTTTAAGATTCCAAAAATCCAAACCGCATACCAATAGACCTAATAGCAAAGAAGTTATAGGCTATTTTTGTTGAAGGCACAACTGTCAAATTTTTACGAAAAAAATTAATAACTCGAAAACTATTGAGTTTAGGTATAGGAAATGTTATAGAAATTTTATCAGGAATTACATATGAAATTTAAAAATCAAAAAATATACAGGGTATTATATTTGAAATAACAATGTTGATGTCACTTCCGGTGAAACCGGAAGTGGAATTTTGTTCAAAATTATTTTGGAAAATAGGTTTAGCTGGATCATATTTTCTATAAAAATTTCACATCGATATCTTTAATAGCAAAAAAAATATGGACCGATCACAGAGCACTGGGTCACCCTGTATATATATTAAATTTTACAATATATATATATTGGAATAAACAGGCGACGCTGAACAAAAATTATAAACAAATTCAAACAAAATCACGATACTTTGATTCCAACTGTTGTCAAAGTTGTCTTTATAGCAAAACTATTTACCACCTGTAAATTGTAGAGTTTAATTATGCCATAGATGGCGACAAATTATATCACCAACATATACTTACCAAGTAAGTATATAAATTATATTACTAACATATACTTACCAAGTAAGTATATGATTACTAAAACTGTTAAAAAGTCTGAAATTACCATGTATATGTAATACATACAGAGTGACCCATTTGAAAGCGGGCCACCCTCATAATTTTGTTATTTATGGAGTGATTTTAACGATTTTTTTAAAAACGAAGGCCTACTAGATCACATTTAGAGGCTGAAAAATGCAGATTCCATATTAGCGATTTTTTTAGAAAAAATCCGCGTACGCCACTGGAATTGGCGTCCTCTGAAATAGATCTATACTAAGTTTCACGAAAAAATATTCAAAATTAACGATTCTATAACTAAATTACTGTCAAGTTGTTTATTATCCATTAATAAGCTTTTTATCTAGTAGCCCATGCGATAATAAATGTTTTACAACAACTTTATTTAATAATAACATTTAATATACATTCTTATAAAGGCATTATTCTAAAATAATATTAAATTAACAAACATGAATTAATTTTAAATTCTAGATTTTTCAACCAAATCTCCATTTAATTGAATGCATTTATTGTATCGTCTTTCAATGTTAGCCATAACATTAGACAATTGGTGTAGTCTAATTTCAGTGCATGCCTGTCTTATTATTTCGCGGAGTTTTTCTGAGTTGGTTGGACGAGTTTTGTACACTTCTTTAATAAACCCCCATAGAAAAAAATCTAGGGGCGTTAAGTCGAGAGACCTGGGAGGAAATTGTATTAATCTACTATTTCGCCCGATCCACCGATTAGGAAAATTTTCCTCCAGCCACGTTTTCACATCCCTGGCATTGTGAATAGGACAGCCATCTAACTGAAACAGTAGACCAACTACTTCTGCAAGTGGAAGTTCATCAATAGCATCCGAGAATTCATTGTTTAAAAAATGTAAAAAACTTTGGCCATTCAAATTGCCTTCAAAAAAGAAGGGGCCAATTATTGAGTATGAGTATGAGTATAAGAGACGTATAACCAGCCCCATTTCCTCTTGACTCTCGAACCCCGTATAGGCCTATGTTTACTTACGCCGATTTTTGTTTTTCCCCAGCAACTGCACGGCTTCACCCGTGTTTGCTGGGTTACTGTCCCCTATTTGGGGCTCGAGAGCGAGAGGCGAATAGTTTTAATAGCCATTCCCGGGTTTGCCGAGCCTATGCTATACGCTCCGTGGGGTATGGAGGAGGGACGGGAAGGTGTTGGTTTTTGGGGGACAATTACGCCGACTTAAAACTAAGTACGACGCGGAATCCCCCTAGACCAGTCGATTAGTATTACTCCAAACATTTGGGATTACTATTTGGAGTTGGGGAGTTGTTATTGCTGCAGGGGTGTAGTTTCCTAGTCGAAGTCTTCGTCTTGTTTATTATTGTCATTGTCCGTGTCGGATAGTTCCTGAATTTGGTAAAGTGTGTCGGTTGTTTTTTTTTATTTTATTTTTATTGTTGCTTAGTTGCTCCCAACTGGTCTTGTTAATTTGTGAGAAGTGCATGTTTTGTGCTAACGTGTCATGCGATAAGGCAGTTCCCAGTGGGGGGTATTTTTTTACTTTTACTATAAGTCTAATGTGTTTACAAATTCCATGGAGTTTGATTAGAGTGCTTTTTTAGTTTGTTTATGTTTTCTTAGTTTATGTGTTATTTATGTCTTAAGAGTCAAATTTATTTGGTCTCGGTTTGTTATACTTGAATTGTTTTGTTGACAGCTTTATTGCCCTGTTCAACTTTGGTGTGTCCGCGATCGGCTGTTTGGTTTTTTCTTGGAAAATTGACTTTTTATTTTATTTTGTTGCCGATGATTATACTAGGCAACAGCCAAAAAAAGTTATGGTTCTTATATTTTTTTTCTGATGCAGCGTGATAACCTGATAACAAAAAACAAAACAAAAAATTTTTCTATGGAAGGGTTTTTTTGTTATAATTTTTTGAAATTTTGAAAATTTAATTTTTCGATTTTCTCGAGGTTGTCATACTTTATTGATCATTACTTTGTAACGCAATTAACGATTTTTAAATTTAAAAAAACAAATAAGAGCTTATGAAATGGACATTATTTTGTGTCCTAATGATTTTTTTACAAATAAGTACCATTTAGTGCGAATTTAGAGTTAAACTTAAAATAATGTAGAAAAAGTGTCAAAATCCGACGATGATTTTACATTCAATGTAGTCTAAACATATAAAAAACATGAGATCGATTTTTTAATATTTTTTTCCATATAGAGGACTAAAAGACGAACAAAACAATTTATCAAAATCAAAAATTGGATATAAATATACATTTTTAAAGATAAGGGTAAAAAACGCACTCTGCAGCATCCTCTGCAATTCCTACGGAAGGAATGGAAAACAAATGTATATTTTCATTTTTGAAGGGGTTATCTTGTCTAAAGATTTAAATAGGCTCATTATTAATAAATTACAAATCGATTCACCCCTTCATGCAGTGGTTACAATCCCTAATATTTTAAATTGCATGACAAGGCATTCATTTGAAAGGTTTTGTTCATTCATTTGAAAGGTTTTGTTCCTCGAGAATTATACATATAAATTAAAAATCTAACTATTCGTTTTTAAAATATTTAAAATTGAAGATGCACTTCGGTTTATATTGAATTAAGTTAGATAATAATCTGAGTTACAGTTTGATTAACCCAGTTTAGCCCCTTTGCGGATTAAGCAGATACCTGAAAAAAGTTTTTTTTAAGAATACAGGATAAAGTTAGGAAACAGTTCTGTGGTTAGGTAAGTTAATTTATTAAAAGTGGTTTCGACATCTGGACAGTCTTGTACAATCATCTATATTTCCGTCTCTTAGAAGAGTCCAAATATAGTCACCCATCATAGCTTCATTCCAGTGTCCTTGGTATCGTCTTTCCATTGGTTTCATTTGTTGGTGGAAACGTTCTCCATGGTCATCGCTAAATTTACCAAGATTTTTGGGGAAGAAATCTAAATGGGAATGTAAAAAATGTATCTTTAAAGACATGTTTGCTCCAACTTTTTGAAAATTTTCCAATAAATCTTTTACGATTTGTACATAATTGGGACTCATATTATTCCCTAAAAAGTTAGAAACGAGTAATTTAAAGGATTGGTATGCTGCATTTTCGTTAGTTGTTAACAAGGTTTCAAAATGCTCATCTCTTAACAGTTTTCTTATTTGAGGGCCGTCAAAAACACCTTCTTTGATCTTCGCATCAGAAAGGTTTGGAAAAACTGTTTTTAAATGGGTGAACGATGCACTATTTTTGTCAAGTACTTTGACAAAGTTTTTTATAAGACCGAGTTTTATATGTAATGGAGGCAAAATAATATCGTCCATACTTACCAGGGGAGTATTTTTGATGTTGTGCTGGCCCGCAATAGCACAGTCTCTTTTCGGCCAGTCCTTTTTAATATAATGGTTTTTGTGATCGCGACTATCCCACAGGCATAAAAAACAACAATATTTTGTATACCCACTTTGTAGACCACATAAAAGAGAGACAACCTTAAGATTGCAACAAATTTTCCACTTGTGGTCTTCATATTTGACGAACTCCATCAATTTCTTCATGGTATCATAGGTTTCCTTATGGTTCGTAGCATGAGCGATTGGAATGGATGGTTTTTCATTTCCATTGTGCAATAGAACTGCCTTAAGACTTTCTTTGTTGCTGTCGATAAACAATCTCCATTGGTTTGGCTCATATTCTTGTACCATCTCCTCGAATAGACCTGGTATATCGTGGCAAAAACACATGCCGTCTTCCATCTTATAATACTTCGCGTATGGCAGATGTCTCTGACGAAAAATTGATACACAAACTTCATCAGTTACCATGTTTCATTGTTTCAAGCGAGATGCAAGCAGTTCTGCTTTTTCCTTCGTCAAATTTAAATCACAAGCCAAATCATTTAGATAATTTTGGTCAAATAGCTTTGGTGTCTTTCCAATGTAACTTTCGCTATACTCTGAGGGCGACGACGATGAAATCTCTTCTGGCAATTCCACTTCGGGATGTGTGGGGTGGTCAATGCCTTCTGTGCGGTGAACTGGAAGTGTAAAGCCATTTGATGATCTGTTCGGGTAGGTCCATCGCAAATGTTTACCAAAGCCTGTGTTCGTGATTGAGCAAAAATAGCAATCAATGACATGGCAACTAGGTTCACTCCAAATCATAGGCTTGATAAATTTCATCCGACCTTCGGAAAGACGGTTTACTCATAAATTGCATAAAATGTTAGGTGCCCAAAGTTCATTAGAGTTGTTCAATTCTATTCCAAAATATTGATGGTACGACCGCTTAATTAAATCAGTTATACTGCGTCGGTTTTTCTGAATAACGTATATCCCACACACATAACAAAAATGGTTTGGATTGTTGTTGCACTCAAATTCTCCTCGGGTTCTCTTCGTTATTTTAATAGGGCAATCGGATCTTATGATTATACTATTATAATAAAATATCATACAGTTTAAATAGTTATGCTAGGTATTATATTATACTAGGTATTATATTATAAGGTAAAATATTAATACTAATATTTTCATCTACCTTTCGCAGGACATTGACATTTTCAGGTAATTACCAAACAATTATAATTGTTTGGAGTCATGTGAGGTATCACTTAAGCCTATTTAAATCCTTAGACAAGATTACCCTTTCAAAAATATACTTTTGTTTTAAATTTCTTCAGTAGGAATTGCAGAGGATGCTGCAGACTGCGTTTTTTACCATTATCTTTAAAAATATATAACTCCGTCAATTTACATTTAATTTTCGATTTTGATAGCTTGTTTTGTTCGTCTTTTAGTCCTCTATATAAAAAAAAATATTAAAAATTGATCTCATGTTTTTTATATGTTTACACTACATTGAATGTAAAATCGTCGTCGGATTTTGACACTTTTTCTACATTTTTTTAAGTTTAACTCTAAATTCTCAGTAAATAGTACTTCTTTTTAAAAAAATCCTGGAGACATAAAATGATGATAATTTTATTAGCATTTATATGTTTTTTTAAATTTAAGAATCGGTCAATGCGTTACAAAGTAATGATTAATAAAGTAGGGCAACCTCGAGAAAATCGAACAATTCAATTTTTTATATTTCAAAAAATTATAACAAAAAAACCCTTCCATAGAAAATTTTTTTTTTTAGTTTTTTGTTGTCAGGATATCAAGCTGCATCAGAAAAAAAATATGAGAACTAAAACTTTTACAACAAGTTCAAATTTGTTGCCTTGTTCAACTTTGGTGTGTGTCCGCGATCGGCTGTTTGGTTTTTTCTTGGAAAATTGACTTTTTATTTTATTTTGTTGCCGATGATTATTGTTTTTTTTGTAGGGATTAGGCAATGTGCCTTGTTTAGTTTAATTTGCAAATTATGTTAGGTCATGCGGATGAGTTGAGGATACTTAGCATTTATTTGCAGGTGGCCTGTTCCTCCCTTGTTTGGCCTCTTTTATTTGGCCAGTGCAAATCGTCCTGTTAACAGATGGTGCGACCGCTCAGGCACTGACACTTGTCACTTAACTCTTTCTTGTCACTTAACACTTAACTCTTTTGACCGTTTCACTATGTTCGTTTGCACTTGTCACTTCACTCTTTCTTTTCACTTGGCCCTTAACTAATTATTGACCGTAGAGTAGTCTGTACTCACTGTATTTGTTACACTATAGTTGTTTGCACTATGAGGGCTTATTTGTTGGTTATGGTTTTAACGTTTTACGTTTACTCTCTGACTCCGCTACATCGACTTACTCACTCGAGGGCTGGGACAAGACTGTAAAAAAAAAGAAGGGGCCAATTATTCTGGTATTTAATATACCGCACCATACGTTTACCTTCGGCATTCGGCATTTTCTTGGGGCCCAGTGCCTCGTGTTTTGTGAATTTACCGTCCCATTGGTAGTAAATGTTGCCTCGTCACTAAACAAAATCTTTTTTAGAAAATTTCTGTCATTAAGGTATTCTCCTTGGCTCTATAAGCAATATTCCATTCGCTTATCATTATCACCTTCTTCTAAGGTGTGGAGAAATTTTGGTTTAAAAGGCTTCGTATTACTGTATTTTTTAAGGTTTCTCCTTATTGTTTTCCGTGGTAACTGGAGGTCCAAACTTGCAATTCTTAAACTTTGTCTCGGATTTTCCATGAAATAATTTCGAATTCGTTCATTGCTTCTTCTTGGCCGTTGTACTACATTAATATTTTTTAAAATGTGCTTAGATACAGCTCCATATTCATTAAAAATATTGCACACTCTCACAACGGTAGACTTGCTAATATTTTGAAGTTCTGGATGTCTGTCATTAAAAATTCGAGATACTTCCCTTCCGGACCTGTCTCTGTCACCATGAAGTTTTACTATTTCAATCTTATGTAGTAATGTTAAATTATGAGCCATACTTATTGACAGTACGTAAATTTCAAAACTTAGCTTACATTAAATGTCAAATTTTGACATTTTCGTCTTTTATTTAGATGACTTGTCATCTGTGACTTTAGTAATTGCAAAGCCTACTATTATGAATATTGTTCATTCCTATGGACGGCCATTTCAAGCGGATGGACGGGACAAATCACAAAACTGTTTTTATAAAAAAAATTGTAGCTAATTTATTATATATTATTTTTGCATCAAAATTGTCAAATATATTCATCTATTATTAGGGTATACATTAAATAAAAAAAATCGCAAGAAATATTTTATAAAAGTAGAGATAATTTCCATAATTGACAGGGATGGACGGGAAAATATAAATCTTTTTTTTGTCCCGTCCACACCTTTCAATTATTAAAATTATATCTACTTTCATAAAATATTTCTTGAGTTTTTTTTTATTTAATGTATAACCCAATTAATGAAGAATATTTTTGACAATTTTGAAGCCAAAATATTATATAATAAATAATCTACAATTTTTTTTATAAAAACAATTTTGTAATTCGTGCGTTTCGCGCGCTTGAAATGGCCGTGGAGCTGTATTTTTAGAGCATGTTTAATTAAGACTTGCCGCAACCAAATATGTAAATGTACCAAAGAAATTTGCTAAAATTAACCCAAATGTACCAAATTCTAAATATGTACAAAATTCATATATAAATGCGTTTTGCTTTAAAAATATTAGGACAATAAAACAAACGTTAGGTTTTTAGTATAATATAATTAAATTTGTATTAAAAACAAAAACTTTTTCAAATATAAAAAAATACAAAACAAAAAAAATTTATTTTTAAATCTAAAACATTAAAAAAATATTAATAAACATTAGAAAACAGGATTACATGTCTAAGAAAATTAAAAACCATTATTTTCTTTTAAATTTCAACATGTCTGAAGGAGGCTCCCAATCATAGCATGTGGTTAGTCGCAACATTTCCTTACTTAACAGCAAATTATGGCACGTGTTTACATCTAACAAATTTCTATTTTTCCGTTTTATTAAATTTAGTGCTGAAAAAATACGTTCTGCAGCAGCACTTCCATGAGGCAAGCATACAATATTTTTTTAAAAATTGTACAAATTAAAAAAATACATTTTCACCTAAAGCATTTTTGCTAGTGCCTAATTCGATTATAAAATTTTCCATCTCTATGTTTTCATTAAATGTTGCCTTAGGTAATTCTGCTAACATTCTCCATTCAGAATTTAAATTTTCAAATACATTTTCATTTAAACATTCAATTTTCTTAGTTTCTTTAAGAAACTTTCTTGACCCATCACTGGTAATATTCATAAGAAAAAATTGAACCTACACCTCGCCAAAGATTTTTGTTTTGAATGCGTTCCACCAACTTCAAATACCGACAGACAGCTGTTTCGACCTTTATTGGGTCTCATCAGTGTCGGGCAACTTGGTGTAGTGGAACACAATCAAAACAAATTACTCCCTCAGCTTATATGCTCGGTTGTTAAGTCAACAGAGGCGAGATGTAAGAACATCAGGTGATCCACACCGTCAAACGACGTGGCCTTTGCCGCAATCGGTACATACTATGCAACCGGGACTGCACACAGCAATTGTATCACAGATACTAATATGGCCTAAAGGAATCTAGAATTAACCCAACCGGGCTAAACATTAAGGTAAACATTCAATTTTCTTAGTTTCTTTAAGAAAGTTTCTTGACCCATCACTGGTAATATTCATAAGAAAAAATTGAACCTACACCTCGCCAAAGATTTTTGTTTTGAATGCGTTCCACCAACTTCAAATACCGACAGACAGCTGTTTCGACCTTTATTGGGTCTCATCAGTGTCGGGCAACTTGGTGTAGTGGAACACAATCAAAACAAATTACTCCCTCAGCTTATATACTCGGTTGTTAAGTCAACAGAGGCGAGATGTAAGAACATTAGGTGATCCACACCGTCAAACGACGTGGCCTTTGCCGCAATCGGTACATACTATGCAACCGGGACTGCACACAGCAATTGTATCACAGATACTAATATGGCCTAAAGGAATCTAAAATTAACCCAACCGGGCTAAACATTAAGGTAAACATTCAATTTTCTTAGTTTCTTTAAGAAATTTTCTTGACCCATCACTGGTAATATTCCCGGTTGCATAGTATGTACCGATTGCGGCAAAGGCCACGTCGTTTGACGGTGTGGATCACCTGATGTTCTTACATCTCGCCTCTGTTGACTTAACAACCGAGCATATAAGCTGAGGGAGTAATTTGTTTTGATTGTGTTCCACTACACCAAGTTGCCCGACACTGATGAGACCCAATAAAGGTCGAAACAGCTGTCTGTCGGTATTTGAAGTTGGTGGAACGCATTCAAAACAAAAATCTTTGGCGAGGTGTAGGTTCAATTTTTTCTTATGAATATTACCAGTGATGGGTCAAGAAAGTTTCTTAAAGAAACTAAGAAAATTGAATGTTTACCTTAATGTTTAGCCCGGTTGGGTTAATTCTAGATTCCTTTAGGCCATATTAGTATCTGTGATACAATTGCTGTGTGCAGTCCCGGTTGCATAGTATGTACCGATTGCGGCAAAGGCCACGTCGTTTGACGGTGTGGATCACCTGATGTTCTTACATCTCGCCTCTGTTGACTTAACAACCGAGCATATAAGCTGAGGGAGTAATTTGTTTTGATTGTGTTCCACTACACCAAGTTGCCCGACACTAATGAGACCCAATAAAGGTCGAAACAGCTGTCTGTCGGTATTTGAAGTTGGTGGAACGCATTCAAAACAAAAATCTTTGGCGAGGTGTAGGTTCAATTTTTTCTTACATTTTCATTTACCATGTTGGGAAATCTTTTTACTAAAGGTATTATAGAAGGAGCTTTTAATTTAGAAAAAATACATCGTGGATCCAACCAAGTTAGCTGTTGATACAACTCGTTTCCGAATGGAAATCTGTCTTTTATTTGCGATGATAGTTTAATATAAAAATTTAAACATTTCAATTTAAAGTTGTGTAATTCATAAGGTTCTATTTGATGCTGGTCAATATATTCTTGAACTTGATAACCAAAATACATATTTTCTATCGGTAAGAAATTAGATTGATCTTTATGATTTATTTTATTTATTTCAAGATTATTAACTGAGTCTAATTTTTCAAAATTTGTTTGAACGTTAACGAAACTTGACAATAATTGATGTAATCTTGGTTTTTCGCTTTGAAATTCAATATTAAAAGTGTTTATTATTTTTAATACATATGATAAAAAGTATAAATACATTTTATTTACTTTATGTTTTAAAGCGGCCAATATATTGTCTGTTTTAGCCGATTGTTCTTCAAATGCAGTATTCGTAAAATATAAAATTAATGCATCGTATTGTTCTAAAATTCTGTCGACGACCTGTTGCTTAGAAAGCCATTTGGTTTCTGAAGGTATTAAAATTTTATGCGGTTTTAGTTCACAAAAAATTTGAAATTCTTTTAATGTATTTAGACGCTTAGAACTATGCGAAAAGTGAGAATAAATATCTCTAGTTAAATCTTCAACAGATGTTCGTATATGCGAACATGCATACGAAGAGCACAAATTAAAAGAATGAGAACTGCAACCTACTACTACTAAATTAGGAATTCTCTTTTTTAGTAAAGCTTGAACTCCTTTTAATTGTCCCATCATCGTAGCACAGTTATTAGCTGCAAATCCAGCCATATTTTGAATTTCTATACCTATTGATGTTAAGTAATTAATCAAGGTTTCAAAGATATGTGCAGCCGTGCTATCATTTTCTAACTCTAATAATCCTATAAAAGCATCTATAACTCTATTATTTTTAAAATAACGAATTAAAATAGCCAAACATTTTTTTGTTGAGACATCGGTTGTTTCATCAATAATTATAGAATAAAATGATTTATTCAAATCTTTGACAATCTCTTTTAAAACATAGGGTCCCATAATATTATTTATAATTCCGGTTGTTTTTGTTCTGATGCATTTTATACCAGTAGCAATTTCGGAATCTTTACAAACTGATTTAATTAAATTCGGCAAATGTTCCATTAGGTTAAAAGATAAATCGTGCTCTGCTACGAATGCAGCTAGTTTGAACTCCCCTTCTTTAATTAATTTATCATTTTTTAATAGAGATTTTTTTAAGACTTCCCCGATTGGTACTATATTTGACTTATCGCAAATATTTTTTTTGTGTAATTCATTTTTTTCATGTCGTAATAAATGGAAACGATTACCGCTAATTTCCTTGTTGCAAATTCTGCAGTACAAAAAATTGCTATTTTCTGCTTTTTGGCACCATTTAAACTCGACTTCCCATTGTTTCGAAAAATTACATGTATATATTTTTTTACGTTTTGTTTTCTTCTGTTTTTCATCCGTTTGTTCTGTTGATGAAGAATAGTCCTCACTGTCGGTATTCTTGCTTTCAGGACATTCAACTATAATTTTAGAACTTTCTCGGGACGGCATTCTCGAAAAAGGTAAAGGTGAAATACCTGGCGAGTTCGAAGTTGGTGATAAATCATCTGGAAGAGGCTTTGTTGAAGCTGATAATGTTGAAGGGCATGTCAGCATTGTTCCTGAAGTCGATGGCGTATCAGTATCTGTATTTTCTTGTTTTTTAAATCGTTTTATATACCTAAAAGTACATGTATTAAGTTAATACTATTAACTTGTATTCACTATTTGTGGCCTGTTTATATCTAATAATTTAAGCGACTCCACTGTTCTAGCGAAACTGACTCCGTTTTTTTTTAATTAAAAAAATAGTTAAAAATTAACTATTGAATAAAGTAAAATTTAAAAAAATTGCTATATTTATTCTTTAGGTATGTTTAATATTTATTAATCCAATATCAATTACTTACCTATCCATTTTTTTCACATAATACAATTAAATGGTTAACCAATAATAAAATCTAAGTTTAAAAAAACTCTAACTCAAAAATTGCACAATAAAAAGATAAGTCAAGAAATCAAGGTAAAATCCCTATACATATCGGGGAATCACCGAGCAGCGCATTTGTTTCGTCTCGTGTGAATTACTAATACTACGACATAGTAAAACAGCCAAGAGCCAACAGATGTCCGTAGTGTCGCGGTTTTGCTTAAATTTAAAAATAGGAAGACCTCATTAATATTACCTTTAATTTGAAAAGCTTAATTTAAATAGATAATATAAATTTGAAATAAGGGTGATGTTTGTTAAATATTCATAAAGTTAAACATTAGGAAATTCAGTATTTCAAAATGTACCCTATTTAAGGTTATTTGTCGTAAAATGTACTTGTGTACCATGAACGAAAAAATGTACCCAATTGGGTACAATTGTACCCAAACGGCAACACTGGTCGAAGAACTAGAGAGACCCCATAGTGCGTAAAGGCCATTACCAGCCTAGGTACGACACAAATTCATTTGAACTTTATCTTGGAATTGACTTAAGATTTAAATCATTTTGATTTTAGAATTGACTTAAGACTTAAGATTTAAGTCTTTTTAAAACTGACTTGTTGCAGCTCTGTGTGACAGTATTGCAAAATTGAAATATTTTAATAATTTTCAATACAAAAAAGTTTAATTTCTATCATTCTTTTATATTCTGTGACCTCGTGTGTATATAAACAATATATCGTTTTGTTCTATTGTTTTTTTGTGCGTTATTATAATATTCTACCGTTGATTCTACAATCAGTTTAGATAATATTGTCAATAATAAATGGTATGATATTATAATTTATTTTATTTATTTATTTTATATCAACTGAGAGTTATTTGCTTTCTAAATTTTATAACAATATATTGCTGTATAAAATGTAATAAAACACTTTATAATTTTGATTTGTTTTCAAAATATTTAACTGCTAGGCAGTAAAATAAGCTTGGTGTTATTTTAATTTAAAATAAATTAAATTACTTAATGAGGAAGAAATTGATTGGGTGGTTGGAACAAGATTGTAGCCTAACACTTACACAGTTGAATCAGAAAATAAGGCAGCATTATAATAAAGAAGTTTCTTTATCGACCGTAGGCAACTACTTAGAGGGGCGTATATTTACAGTAAAACAGGTACACAATGAGCCGGTCACTATGAATTCCATAGATAATAAAATAAAAGAGCTATATATGTACAGACGCTTAATGGTCTAATAGAGCAGGGAAAACAAGTAGTTTGGATCGATAAGACAAATTTTAATCTATTCTGTAGGAGAACTTGAGGACGTGCTAAAGCTGGTATAAGGACTGTACAATCTCTTCCAGCTTCAAGAGGTCCTAACGTAAACCTCATTGGAGCAATTTCTGCAGCAGGAGTTGTAGCTTTGGAACGCGGGAGAGGTTCATTCACTGCTTCATTAGCAAACACTTGGGTTATGTCCCTGTTACAGAGGTAGCAAGATACGGGTAATCAATTGGTTGACTTGGTTATTGTTGCCGATAATGCACCTTGTCATTCCAATTTAGAAAATATTATTAATGAAACTGGTGCAACCCTATTAAGGTTAGGTCCCTATTCCCCAATGCTAAATTCCATTGAAATAATTTGGTCAAAGATTAAAGCATTTGTAAAAAGCCACCTGCGAAATCCAGACGTCGTAGCTCCTGGCGTGGTGGAGCAAAGGCTTGTATATTTGGAAAATATAATCGACCTAGCCAAGAATACCATTGTTGGTGGTGATTGTGCTCATACTACAATCCATTATGCTCCACCATTAGCTTTGGAAGATATGCCCGTTGGACGCTAATACATATAATGCGGTTTTTTTAATGTGACATTAATGGTTTTTGTTATATTTTATTTTATTTTTACTATAACTATTCAATTCTCTTTCCATTTTAACTTTTTAATACATAGGTATATAAGATCTTTGATAAGTGTTTGTTTGATTTTTTATAAATTTAATTCCCAATAAACATAACCTAATTTTTTAGTCTTTGTCAAAATGTAACCACAGTTGTACCATTTGGGGGATAGAGGAACAAAAACTGCGCCATTCTTTTTTCTGGACGAATATTAAAAAAAATTAATCAAGAATATTAAGAGCTTTTTACTAAAATTTAAACCGCTCAGATGCACCATTTTCGGGATAAATTACACTGTTTAGCATAAAAATGTCATATTCATTTAAATTTAGAAGAAGGCTTTGGAACAAAAGTGACATTTTGGTTATTTGCTGGCTAAATTTGTTTTGCGATACAACGTTTTCTTGTATGCAAAATGCATTGGTAAACTCTGGACCCCTAATTTCGGGAAACCGATAAAGCTGGTACAAAAAAGTTCACAAATTAAGTTGGCTATTTAATTAAAAAAAAATGAAAACTAGGTTTTCCATTAACTGTAAAAAAGATATAAGCGAAAATACAACTTTATAGAGATAAGTTAGTGTTAGACGTAAGTTTAAAAAGCCGTACTAGGTTAGGTGGCCACTGGAGGGCGCCACTACACGGATGGTAAATGCGGGAGCTGCCATCCCGACGGAGAAGAAGAACAAGAAAGCGTTGTTTATGGAGTAAAATAAGCTTGGTGTTATTTTAATTTAAAATAAATTAAAAACATTTTACCGGTCATATTATTCAAAATACCTGACAAGAAATTCAGAAGTGAGATCTGGATTAAGAGTGCAGTGCCTGGAGATAAGTGAATTGGAGAAAATAAGTGGTGATTAACTGTTGTTGTAAAAAGCCGATTTGTGGTTAGGTGTGCCACGTGCTGAAATTCAGTTGGAGACAAAAGGAGGACAATTATTACGTTTAATTGGAGACTTAGTTGGAGTAGAGTCAAAACAAAGGTGAGGCGCATTCGTTGTATTAATAGTTGGAGAAATTTTAGAGTTTTTACAAAACGAGCGACCACCTGTCGATCAATTTGGAGGATGACGAGGCTATGCTGAGTCAGTCAGAGCAGGGTTCACGCAGGGAGACGGCTGCCGTTCAAAATGAACCAGTTGCTGACAACATGGCTGTAATGCGTGGCTTATTTAAGGAGTTGCTCGAGCAGCAAGGACGGATGTTGCTTGATCAGCAGCGTCGAACAATAAGACAGGAGTCACGTCTAGCTGTGGGAGAGTGTATGGAGGAAATCACTAGTACGCCATCTAGCCATAGGTACGACAAGTCCTCAAGCAACTATCGAGGTGGGGTTATAAGCTTGGGACAGGAGCTGGTGATGCCGTTTAACCCTGAAAATAAGAGCACCAATGTGGAGAGGTGGCTCGAGAGAGTTCAGGAGTTAGCTGAAGCTAATGCGTGGACTGATAAGGAGCAGTTGCTAATCGCGCAGGCCAAATTGGAGGGGGCTGCTCGTGAATGGTACAATGGTGTTCGAGCTCCGAGAACGTGGGAGGAATTTTCAGGAGGTTTGACAGCGGCATTTCCAAGGAGAGCTGATTTTGCTGACACCCTTAAGCAAATGGTGCTTAGAGTCAAACAAGATGGAGAGAGTTTGACTAACTATTATCACCGAAAGTTGGAGATGATGCATAGAGTGGACCTGCATCAGGGGGAGCGTGCAGTTTCGCTGCTTATTCAGGGCTTGCCGGAGGATCTCAAAATTGGAGCTTTGGCGTCCAACTGCAAGACCCCTGAAGCATTGTATACGAGGTTTTTGACTTTGGTGCAAGCAGGGCAAGAATCCTCCAAGGAGCAAAGATTGGAGAAGAGAAGTGGAGCCTCTAGCAGCGGCGTGTCGCGGATTCGCTGCTACAATTGTCAGGAGATGGGGAACCATCTAGGTAAGGATTATCCTCGCCCACGTGTGGAGAGATGCATTCGGTGTGGCAAGGTGGGGCACCGAGCACGTGACTGCCCTCTTGAACCATTTCCGGGCCGACAAGGAGGATCATCTGGAGGAAGTCAGGAGGGAGCCACAGAACGAAACAATAGGGTGAGTCTTTTGATTAATCCTATAGATTCTGTTTTTACGGTGCTTGGTTATATTGGGAAAGTTAGTGCTCGATGCTACATTGATACAGGAGCAGAGGAAAGTTTGGTGTACACTGCTTTTGTGGAGAAAATTGGAGCTCCAATTAAGCCATTGAGAGAAGAGGTGATTCTCAAAGGTTTTGGAGGTGGAGAAACGATGGCGCTAGGCAGGTGTTTGGTGCTACTTACAATAAGTGGCCGCTGGTGACAGATGCTGACATGGGGCGCATTGAGATATTGCTCGGGACTGAGGCTCTCAGACTGGCCTGACAATGGTGGTCAGACAGGGCAAGGCCATGTTGTTGGAGGAGGAGAGTCCCAACAAATGGATGAGCAGCTTTGGTATGCCTGAAGTGCAGGAGGGCAAATATGTGATTTGGCTAGCAGAAGAGCTATGTTGCGAATCATTTGCGTCTCAGATGGTCAAGGTCGACGTGAGTGGTAAACAAGGTGGCGATTTTGTTATGGTGGACAAAGTTGTAACCACTGAACACGGCTACCTCATGATACATGGCCAACTTCTGAAGCTGGGAATGGAGAACCATTTGCTGAAGGTGACCAATCTCACAAAAAAGGAGATTCATTGGAGAAAGGGGCGTGTATTGTTTCGATTGGAGATAGGAGGCAAAAAGGAGGCCAAGCCTGGAGAGAAAAAGAAAGCAACTACACAGGTGAATATTATTAGTTTAGGTGATAAAATTGGGCAAGTAAAAATGGGGGATGTGTCTGATTTATGTAAGAATGAACTAATGACATTATTAAAAAGTAGGGAGGCATGTTTTTCTAAAAATGATGTTGATGTAGGTTTTACAACGATAGGTAAAATGGAGATTAAAACAACAACCGATGTACCGATATTTCACAGACCCTATCGATTGTCACACTCAGAGCGAAGTTTGGTGAGAGAAAAAATACAAACACTTAAGGAGGCTGGTGTTATCCAAGATTCAGAGTCC